CGAATATAAAGGAAGCCATAAAAAACTCTGCTTCTACCCCTACCCAGTCTGCTCTCCTCTCTACTGTCTTACTTCTGCTCACTTCTTTCGCCATTCTCTAAGCGTCGTCAACAAGGGAAATCCCTTACGGTGTTTGCAAACCTTAGCTGTGAGAAGCACGATAGGGGAAATGCAGTTTCCCTAGTGCCTGCACAACAAGGAGCCGCAGTGAATATATGTTTCTTTGAACCCCTAACATGGATTTAAAGGGAGACAAAAGGGATCAAAGTGTCTCTTAGCGATCTGAATTTTGGCTCGCAGCCACTGCAGCTGCTCTTGCTTTTGCGTGGCCCTCTCTTTAGACCGTTGAACCGTTTCAATTAGATGTTCTCAAGGTTACGATATCGCCCTATAATGAAAGAGACAAATAGATGCAGAGAGAGGATCTCTCGGAGTTCTCCATAGCATATCTGGCTCCCCTAGAGTTCCCCATCTCTGCGTGTTAGAGGAGGTAAGGAACTTCAGAGATTCACCAGGGCAAGTTGGCCAGTGTGGAACGGTTACAGCCACTCGCGCATCAGCGCATAACGGCAGCAGCCGGCCATGCAATATAGCCGGGTCTCAAAACAACCTGTTGCGTTCTCACAGTAATGCACTACCCTCGCTCGGGAGGTTGCAAGCGCACACACAATAGGTGTGCTTTAAAGCAAAACGATTGAGATCTACTGGGTGTTTCCTTGTTTGCACTGTGCAAATGACCACGCCGGGCGACTGGACACCAGAAACTGTTGTCAAATGATCAATTGATCTGTGCGAAAATGCTCAGGCAGAAAAGAGAATTTGCTGGGTCCAAACCGGCGCATCAAAGCCTCGGGCTCGTCACCACTTTTACATCTCTGGCGGAGATCAGCAAGGCCTCTAATCAAATACTACTGCCCTGGCAACATTTACTAATTTGTTCCACTCGAGATAAAGTGAAAAAGTGCAATTTAGGTGGAACGAGCAAATTTCCGCTCCCGCACGGGAAATGGATGCAGCACCGCAAATTATCACCACAATTTGCCTCATTTCAACTGAGAAACAAATTGCTTATTTTAGCTAAGGTGAAATCAATTTAGGAATGAGGCGTACGATGGTCACATGCCACAGGACAAGTGAGGTTGTTTCGGGCTGCTCGCTGCCGAGGCGCTGTCCTCACCGCATGGACAACCCTCTAGAAAGTTAGCAGACCAACGGCCTTGCAGTGCAGTTACAAGTTACAACCGGCTACATTTATTTCGGATCTTGCTTATTTGTGATTTAATTGTTGAATTTCTGCCGAACACCATGAGAAAGCTCAGTTCAGTTCTGGTGGTCGCCGCCGTGCTGGGGGCCGCCCACGAGGTGGAGAGCG